CCCGAAGGACTGTTTCAATATCATTCTCCAAATCGCTCTCTTCCGAACTCATACCACATTCTCCCAACGTCTTCACTAGTTGCTGAAGCCACTGCCACGCTGGGAGGTCCTCTTCTTTATCATCGGTCTTCTGCTTAACGAGATGGTCAAGAACTGTTGCTCTACGGAGATATTTCTGAGAAAGTATCAGTGCTAGAACCGTCTGGATATTGCGAGCATACGTTTCTGCGACGTGTCGTTTGACGAGTCACCTTCAATAATTCGTCCTTCTTCGCGATTAACCTCTCCTCTACCTCCGCGGGAGTTTCCAGCACACCCTTTGCCGTGACCTTAGGCTGGGCACACGTCCAGACCGTACGCAGTCGCTTGTAGCGATCTCGAAGAATTTTCCTGAAATACGCCTCTGACCTGGCGAATGGCCACCTCTCTTCATCGCCCCTTCTCCGTAATTCTCCAAGTAGCAGATCGATGATTCTACTATTCCAGGGGGTTTTGGACCCGTTCTTGGTATCGAACGCGAGGTTTTTCAGATCAGGACCTGGGCCATCTTCATATTCATATGAATACACATCCTCACGACGAGCTGCCTCATGGGCTATGAAATCAGCATCTTGAGAAATGTTGAACATATCTTTGAAGAGACGCCGCACTTCTCCCTACTTCGCCGTAAGTGTGGGAGCTTCTATATGATGTTGGGCTTACCAGCAGGAAGTCTCTTTCGTAGTTTGATTCGCTTGCCTTTTCACGCTGTACTTCTTCCTCCTCTGTCTTTCTCCTCCGGGGACTGCGCTTTTTGAGACCCGAAAATTCTTTGTCGACGAGAACGCGTCTCAGTGCAGCCTCCACACCTCTTGCGATTGCGTCCTCCATGCTGAGGCTGGCACGAGGCGATGGATTGTGCTGCTCAGGTGGTGGTACATCTTCTTCGGATGATTCACGAGGGACTTCCTCGGTGTTCACCTACTGTCGTCAAATCTTGTATCGCAGCCAACAGCATCAGACCCTTACCTCTGCTACTATTGATACAAGGCGAGTCCTGCGTGATACTCCACGAGTTCTCTTTATCCTTCTAATCGCATCAAGGCATGGGGTACCTAACGACGGTTTTGCGGATGGTGCGGATGACTGCCCTGTGTCTCTCCGCAGAGGGGGGTCATTATCAATTTCTATATCATCGTCCTGTACCCTGTGACGCCTGGCAAATCGTTGTTCCATCCTGGCCAGCTCGCTCTCTTTTTCCGCCTGGAGTGCATTCAAGCAGATTTCAGCATATTGCCTGTGAGTTTATGAAACAACATTCTCACCTTCAACTTCTCAATTTCATGCTGTAGTCTCCTTTCCATCTCCGTGAAGATGGCACTCGATTGTTCTCGACACTACCTTGATCGTCATGAACCATTTTCTTGTTAAGTTGTTTAGCTCACCTCTTCTTCTTTCCTTTTCCTTAATTCTTCCTCTCGCCTGGCCAGTTCTTCACCCAGCTCTGCTTCTCGCCGCCTCAATTCTTGTGTAAATCGCTCGCGAGTTTCCTCCAGGATTTTATGCATGCCAGCGTCTATTGCCTCGCGATTCGCCTGGCTGAGTGTTTCGCGACTTTCTCTGATATAATCTTCAAGTTGCTTCTGCTGTTGGGCGCGGTTCTCTTGCTGCTGAGCGTGGTTCTCCTGCCATGCCACGATGTCAACATGCATTGTCTGTCGAACGCTGCAAAGGAATTACCTCGAGTTCTTGGTGGACCTTTTCTAGTTGCTCTTCCCGCTCTCTTAGAGCTGCTTCCCACTGCTTTTTTATATCGTTTTGCTACGGCCACCGTCACATATTGGTAATTTGCAGTAAGATACTACGAACCATCTGCATTTCACGCCTCATAGTGTTGATCTGCTCCTCTTGACTGTATACGGTCTGGCGCAATGTCTCTGAGTAGTCGACTTCTTTAATGCGACGCTTGTCCGATGTCTGTATAGACTGAGCTAGTTATTAACTTCTCTGTACTAGTCGTACCTTATCGACGACCTGCTTTTGTTGTACATGCAGCCTTTCCCTCTTGTCGAGAACCGTCCTTGTGGCGGGCGGGCTTGTGACATCCTCTACAGTCTCTTCAAGGTCCATCTGGTCTATCTCCCCGCTTGATCTAATTGGAGGTACCGTATTGACGATCATATTGGAAGGCTGACTTGTATCGTCTTCCATGGCATCGTCAAATAAGCCTACATCGTTGTATGTTTGAACATCTTCCGGAAGAAAGCGCGTTCGTACTGACATGGCAATAGGAATTGTGATTTAGGTTTGGACGTATATGTCTTTACTTTATATGCAGCCTTATCGCGCGCTTTTCGGTCATGAGTCGGGATTGAGATTGAACAAGGAATATATTAGGTTTGGCTTTGAATTAATTTGAGTTCAAAAAGTCACAAGTTAACACTTATTGTTTATTGTCGTAGTTAATATCCTGGTTAATCAAGACAATAGCTATTGTCGTGTGCGATGTGCTCGGTTCAAAGTCATGCTCGGTTCAAAGTCGTGTACGGTGGGTGTGTGGTTGGTGTGCTCGGTTCAAAGGGGAACTACTATAAAATCCAACTTTCATCGCCCACTTTCATCGCCCATTCCCTCACGTTATCCTTAGCGCTGGTCGCCTTGTCACTTATTTTTGTCATTCCTTTGCTGCAATGGTCAACACTCGCGGGTATATCTTCCCTACGTCGTTTGTAAGTTACCTTACCTCACCTCACTCCTGATCCTCGCTGACAGCTGTATAAGACTCCAGAGCTCCATTTGCGTTGTAGGCTGTATTCTGCGTCGGGGAGTAAACCTCGCCAGGTCACTATGTTGACGCGATGCTCCAATCGCTCGCGCAAAGCCCAACGCTTTCCCGTTGTTGAGAGCCTCCTGAATTACGCTGCCGTGCAGCCTTACGTGCATAATTGTTTTGTTACCCTACATGAAGGGAGACACATTTACCAGTTTTGCGTCTTCTTCAAGCGACACTGTCGTCTGGGAGTCAACCCCCTTCTTAGCAGCGTAGAACACATATTCCGAGGTGACGCAGTTGTGATGAGGGTTGGCGTTAGCAGTGGCTCTGTTGTGAATATGCGAGGCAGGGACAATGCGCTCGCTGACTTTATCATGCATCAGTGAGTTCAGTAGATGGTCATTCCTTGAGCCTCGTTGATCTGGTACCTGTCAGATTTACACGATACATTAAACATCATTTTCGAGCAAGGATCCCACGCACTCTCACGTTTGTGAAGCCACTAAGCACTCGGCTCAACCATCGGCTGGTTTCCAGGTTTCATGAGGCGGTAGTTTGATACTTGAAAGTGATTGTATAATGATTGTAGTAAATAATAAATGAGGTTCGCCCAGAGGGCTGCTGTCATGAAGGATACGCAAACAACGAGGGACGCTATAACAGTGACCACAGGATAACGCACACGACGGTACATACCGTCGTAGATGGCTGGTCGACGATCGGTGGGCCTGTGGGGTCAGAGTAGCAAGGTTGAATTCGGTAAAAGGGAGGGAGGTAGCTATTAAGAGAAATGATTTACGACAGTACATACCGTCGTGTCAGGAATGACCCATCAACGGCTGAGTCGTAACTCGAGTTCAGGTCTTTCTACATGCATCCCTACAGTCTATCACTCCGCTTAATTTTTGCTCAACGTGCCCTTATTCGAGACTAGGTCCCAACAAATATCATGCTGACATTTTCTACGGAGTAATTTACGATATTGATATAGGGGACAGGATGAATCAAGTGGCCTGTAGATTAGCATTAGCCCTGACCTTCGCAATAATAATAGAGCTCACAGGCGATGTATGTGTCTTCCTCTTGCTCTTGCCCAAAGCCATCCCTGCTTCCTTCTGCCTAGCACGTCCCGACGTGTATTTCAGATGCATCATGATGATATCATTCACCGGCCAGCAACTACTGTAGTTGTCTAGGTCGGGAGAAAGCATCAACAGCCTAATAGATCATGAGATTGTGGATGATCGCCATAGAAGGTGTACTGACTTTGTCGCGCACATATCTCAGGAGCGCAGGGCTTTGGGAAGAGGCGCACTTTGTGGTATCGAGATGTTCCTCGACAAGGTGGTGCATAGATTTCTTGAGGCGTTGATTTAGTAAGCAGCAGACCGCAGTGAGAACATGTCACTAACCTTGAATTTCGTGTATGCCTTTGGACTCCAGTTTAAACTCTCCTGGAGCGTGTATCCTCCCCACCCCGGACGACCAGGTTCGCCAGGGGGCTTGGGTATCTTTGAGTCTTCTGATAGACTCGCGGCCGAAGTAGACGAGCCACTGTCTGACACCGAATCAATGGAGTCGGAAGAATCGGAAGATACGGGTGACCGAGAAGAAAACCGCTCCAATGAGACTCTCTTCGGGTACGGCGAGAAACAACGATTGGTCTTGGATGATGGCACCGCAAGTTTGATCTCAGGCGTGCCCTTGAGGGCAGGAATAGGTGGGACGATGGTGCTAGCTTTGGCAGGGAGAATCTCGTCGGAGATGAGTATAGTTGGGTGATGAGTACTTCCAAATAACTCAAGCTGGTCGGTAAGCATGGGAGGAAACGGTGGTGGAGCACCAGGCTCTTGGTCGTAGAAGGGAGAGACAGGAATCGTTGTGTTGCGCATGACGGTGGCGATGTGAGCGGGTATGAACGAAGGTAACCTTCTAGCAAGATTTATGAGTATGGCACCACTTCGACTGCCATATTGGGTTGAAACAATAACCAATTACGGATCAACAAATACGTTGTCCAGGACGGCGATGACAAAAAAGATGAGAATAGAAAGTACAATGGATTTTAATAGACGACTGTAATATAAGATTGGCCCTAAGTTGCTCATGAAAAAACCGAACACAAAAGTCAGCAAAATGATCGCCATGGAATCATGAACAAAAGTTTACTAAAACAAATAGAGTCATTATACAAATAGGCTGCGAGTTAATGAGCTGGCAATTACAATTGATAAGATTATACGCGACAATGTCTCTCTTTGCCTGGTCACTCTTCACGAAATCAACGCAACACTTCCAACATCGAGCGTGCCTCTCTACCTATGGCGGTTCTATCCATGCGCTTGCAATTTCCAATGATGGCCAAGCTCTTGCATGTGGTGGTAACTCACATGCGTTCTAATTATGGCAGGGTGCTAACAAACAAGTAGGCACCGAGGGCGTTAAACTCTGGGATACCAGATCACGAAAAGAACTCACATGCTCTCCCCTTAACTGCGAGTCGCGGGGTACAGTCAGCTGCGCTGTCTGGATCACCACAAGACTAGGCATGGCGGAAACACTTTGTTATGGAACCGGTTTAGGTTATGTGGCATTCTTGCGGCGTAGCCCAATAGATGTAAGAGAATCCTAGTTCATCGTTAGGCCTTCGCCTGACATCAACAGATGCATTTTCAGGAGATTTGCGTTAGGAGACTCGGATCGGGCTTTGAAATTACTTGCATGTCATGGGATCCGACGTCCTCCGACGCAGGTGCGCGGATAGCAATCGGAACGAGGGACAAAATAGTTCAGGTCCTTGTCCTCAACACAAATTCGCAACTGCAGGCTGTGTTTTCAGTGTGACTAGACAACACAGTACCTAAGTCTGTCGCATTTGCAGACGACCGAGGTGTCTATGCATTTGGACTGTACGATGGTAATTTCATCAAGTTGAATGGCGACGACGGCACGGTGGTGAAGGAGTATACCTGTAAATCAGTGATGTCAGTCCACAGCTCACGATCAATATACAAATCACTAACATTCTGTCAGCGGTCACGCAGCCGTCAATCAGAAGAGAGGCGTGTTCGTGGTCGACAACGCAGCAGACGGTTTTACGCTGTACCGACTTGACGGCAACGAGGAGCCAGTTCGAACATTCGTAACTGCTCCTCCGAGTGTGTCAGTACCCAAACAGGTGGCATTCGGAGCAGAAGGAAGATTGATTGTAGGAGGAAGCGACAATGGATCAGTGTATGTATTTGAAAGGAAGACAGGCAAGCTACTTGACACTCTTCGCCACTCCAATGGAGGCCTGGTGCAGACCATCGCTGTAGGTATTGAATTTTTGCCAAGGATAAGATATTGACAATCTTCTAAGACCCGAGATATTGATGGGCACTGCACAGTCGCCACTGCATCACCAGCGCTAGGCCGCGGCAAAGCCACAATTAACTTATGGGTCCACGACTATAGCATAGGAAAGGCGACTCTTACCTCTAAAGATTCCTGGTCATTATTACATATGCTGAAGCGCATGTTTACGCTTCTGGTTCACTTGAGTGCCTTGGCGCTCATCGTCTCCTTTCTGATAACCAGCTACTCTGTGAGTCAATGGTTGGCTCGGCGACAATTGGCTTAACTGACATACCTGCAGGACACGGTGGTGACATGGTCAATAGACATCGCCCAGCGCATGAGACCAATGCACATGTTCATCTTTCCCGCTAGCAACCCTCCACAAAGTGCAGTATTTGAAGAAGCACCATATATCCAAGAGGCGGTACGTGAAAAGAGCGACATCTTGATACTCCATGAACTGGCCGAAAAGCTCATGGAAGTCATTCGAGAAGCAAAACGAGATGCGGGCGAGGATCTTCATCATGTAATAAAACACGACATCACCGCCGAAGTAGAAAGGGTCTTCCATCAGGCAGTGCAGGCAAGAAAGGATGACATCAGAGGAACTCGGAGAGGACAGGATGGTTCGGGGAAGGAGGTTATTCTCGTTTAGTAGATTTTGCGAATTGCTAGTTGCTATCCCGTAAATCCCTCCACGGCAACGTGGAGGAATGACTGAAGAACAAAATCCCCTGACGGGTGAAATGGCGTGTTGGGTGGGTAAAGCGCAAAAGTACTGAGGCACCCAAGGTACGCCATAATTGGAGGTTTGAGGAAGTCCGCCACGCTGAATTGGAGGTTGTCGCTAGCACATCATAGCAGTACAGACCGCTAGGTGGCATAATGGCAGTGGGTGGTAAAGCGCAAAAGTAACGAGGCACCCAAGGTACGCCCTATTAGAGGTTTGAGGAAGTCCGCCGCGCTGAATTGGAGGTTGTCGCTAGCACATCCTAGCAGTACAAACCGCTAGGTGGCATAATGGCAGATGTCTGCTCGAAGAGTTAAGTATGAGACTCAGTCTAAATCAAAAAGCCACTCACCACGTAGTTATCGCCTATTTCTCAGAAGCACAACGACAGTACAGACCCTGGGTGATGCGGCCAGTCGAGCAAGGAGAAGAGAAGACGGTGGGAGCTAAGACTCAGCAGTACATACCGCTGAGCTTTGGAGACTTGAAGCAAATGAAGACTTGGTTAGGTTAGGACGTTTTGTTTGACTTTGTTTGACTTTGTTTTACCTATCCCATCCATTCTACCTTGACACACATCTACATCTCCCCTGGCGCGACGGTTTGTACTGTCGCGTTCGTATTAATCTCGTACACATATCCTCTAGGTCTTCTCTCCCACAGGTACTAGGGCGACAGTTTGTACTGTCGCGTTCGCGTCTATCTTGTATACACCTCCCCTCCTAGGTCCTGGCGCGACGGTTTGTACTGTCAGCGTTCTTGTCTACTTTGCATCCATCTCTCCAGACCCGCCGTAACGCTCGGGACCAATCTCATCCATCACCCGTGCTTCATCATGGCTCCTGACCTCTGCGTTTTCGTACATGAAGCGCAAATTTTCACATCCTTTAATACATCGCTTCCTGCTGTGATTCCCCCTATCCCTCGACCTTGGAATCCAGTATTAGAGTCGGATTGCTCTCCTGAAAATATCAAAGATGCTTTAACTACACAGTGGGCTACGAATCGCGCCCATGGTTTC